GCGTCCACTTTGGGTGCATTTTCACATGAGGTGAGGTGGAGGCTGCAGGTCTGTTGCCTGCGGCGGCCAGTTGTCCCAACAGCTGCAGACACAACTTCTCCATCTGATTTCCTCTCACATTTGCCAAAGATCATCTGACAGATGTGAGTGTATTTCTGGGCTCTCTTTTCTGTTCCATTGATCTTTGTTTGTCCTTTTGCCAATAACACATTGCTCAATTGGTTACTGTTTTACAGTAAGTCTTGGAACTCTGCAAAGTTTTCCAACTCTGTTCTTTTTCTAAATTATTTTGGCAATTCGAGTTCCCTTGCCTTTCCGTATAAATTTAGAGTGAGCTGTCAAATGCACAACACTGAAAGCTCAATCCATGAACACACTGATTGAGGCTCAATCCAGGATTATCTGTTCATGCCTTCCACCGGGAACATCTGTTCACGCCCTCAACTGGATCATCTGTCAACGCTTCTCAATGTGAATGAACAATTCTGTTCTCACGCTAACTCGGGAACGCCTGTCTACTGTTCTGATCGTTTGTTCACGCCACTCCGGGAACGCTCTGTTCACGCCTCACTGGGAACGCCCTGTTCACGCCTACTCCGGGATCGCCTGTTCACGCCTCTCACTCCGGGATCGTCTGTTCACGCCTACTCCGGGAACATCTGTTCACGCCTACTCCGGGACTGCCTGTTCACGCCTCAACTGGGATCATCTGTTCTCACTTCACTGGAACGCCTGTTCACGCTCTCACTCGGGATCGTCTGTTCATGCCTTCACTCCGACCGCTCTGTTCACGCCCGCCCGATCGTCTGTTCATGCCTCTCAACGTATGAACATCTGTTCACGCCTCTAACTCCGGGAACGCCTGTTCACGCTTCAATTGGGAACGCCTCTGTTCACGCCTCCTACTCCGTGGATCGCTTGTCTGGCCGCCTCTCAATCCTGGGATTGTCTCGTTCACACCTCTCACTCCGGGATCGTCTGTTCACGCCTCTCAATCCGGGATCGTCTGTTCACGCCTCTCAATCCGGGATCATCTGTTTACGCCTCTTAATCCAGGAACATCTGTTTACACCTCTCAATCCTGGAACATCTGTTTACGCCTCTTACAGTTTCTTTCCTCAGTGTTGTTGGTTTCCAGCGCACAGATCTTGCGTGTATTTTGTTAGAGGTACACTTCAGTGTTTCACGTTCTTGTATTATTATAAATGCTTAAATGTATTATAAATATTTACACATTTTTTCACACCCCAATTATTCATTGCTAATATACAGAGTCAGAAATGATTTTGAAAAATTATTCCTTGTATCCTGAAACTTTATGAAGTTTACTAGTATAGGAGGTTGTATGTGTGTGGATTCTACATAGAAAATTATAGTATCTACAAACACAGATATTTTTATTTCCTCCTTTCTAATCTCAATGTTTTAAATTTCCTTTTATTGTCTTATTCACTGTTATTTTGAAAAGTATATAACTATATGAATATACATTTCAAAAGATAAAATCATTTGAGAGTATTCTACAGAAAATAAAAAATAGTGAAGGGGTCCGAATGGTTCAATACCTAATGGTTTCAAAGCTTTTATGAAGAACTGTATGATATTACCTACTTGATATCTTTACAATGAGCACAACTACAAATCAAATGTCTTTGGAGTTAGCTGGTAATATAAGATTATGAATTGGTAACAAAATTCACAGCCACAATCTGAGATATTTTGGGACCACGTGGGCTGGCTCAGTTAACCAGGGTCACCTTACTACCTGATGCCTGGATCTTGGAGTGAAGTAGCTTCTCTAAGTGGTCACGCACCATTCAGAATGAATGAAGACATGTGCAGAGTTAGGAGAGAGATGAGTAGGTCAGCTTCCTGCCTTATTGGCATCCAGAAAATTAAGTCCCTGAACTCATCTGGAGTAAAGTTTAATAATTCAAAGCAAAATTTGAGCTTCAAAAGAACAACAAAATATTGTTGCAAATATACCATTTTCTGTAAAGAATAAAAGCTACATAGTTTTAGGAAAGCAAAGGAAATCCTGACTCTTGGTTTAACTGATTCATTCACTGCCTCATTCATTTATCAAATACTTACTGAACAGATACTGTGTCCATGTGTGGCTCAGGCCATCGAGACACAGCAGGGGACAAATGTTTATGCTCGAGGTTGGCTAACTCATTAGGACAGTAAATGAGATTTATAATGAGTGCCTTATTTGTACTTTTAGATTAAAAAGACTGGTTATCAAATACACATGAAAAAGAGGAGATTTTCTTTCCAGTTGAGTCTTTTCCTGTGTGCAGGGAATGCATGCCTTGCCTCTGAAGGTATTTTATAAATTTACCGTGACCTGAGATATGTGACTCAGAACTGACAGGACCGGCACTCGCTGGTCAGCCACTCACATTTCAGCCTGCAGCCCTTTACGCTGTTGCTCTATGCCACGGATTAACTGCTTTCTTAGCCTGACTAGAACACAGGCTCGTTGAGAGCAGGGCTATACTGTCTTACATCACAGGAGCTTGAGCCGACGGACTGGGGACTCGGTGTCCACTGACACTGACCAGCTTGGATAGACTACGTCGGCACATCCAGTCTCCAGCTGCCCCGGTCATCAGACAACAACACAGAGTGCTGTAGTCTGCGCCACCTTGGTGAACTGTTCAGAAGTAACAGAAAGCTTCAAAATAATTCTTTAGCTTCAATAAGAAAAAACAACTAAATTAACTTTAGTGGTTCAGTACTTTAGTGCTATTTTCTTTTCAAAGGATTTGAAGTGTAGTCGATTAAAAAAAAAGTTACTGGGCAACAGAGCGAGACTCCATCTCCAAAAAAAAAAAAAAAAAGTTACAATGCAGATAAGATGTTGAAGAAAAGAAGCCTAGAGAAAATGAGTGACTGAATTCTTGATCAAAAAAAAAAAAATGTAGGGATGGTGATCTGACTTTAGGATACTAAAACAGTCTAAATTGTTGATCACCTTAACAAAAATGGAAATTTAATGCCCTTAATGAGATCCAACTCAATCAGAAGTGAACAGGGTTCAATGGCACCAGTGAGTAACACAGAACGTACTGATTCCATGGCCACAGTTAGGGATAATTAGCTGCTCTGTCAGACACCTGTGGCCTTATGAGCATCTTGTTTCTAGAGTGATTTAGATATCCACAAAGAAAGAGACCGGTGGGTACAATCTCAATCCTTGAAAACAGTAAAAACGTGTTAGTGCCTCACTCCAACAGCCGGGCAAGATGGCTGTGGCATGACAGTCCTATGACAAGCTTCTCCCAGCACAGTGATCTAGGAGCACCAGCTGGGGCTACGAGACCCCTAGTGACCTTCGCCCTGCTTGGGTGCTGGTTTCCTAGGTTTGAGGGTAGAGCATCAAGGTTTAACGTTCTTACATGAAAGGCTTGTTTCCGTGTGTTTGTAAGGCAGCATTTAGGTAAACATTTTTGGAGTCTCTGGGAATGAGGAAATGCGTATGCTACTAAAATGATCATTATTCATACTAGCTTCCCGAAGTTTCTGGATCTTTGCTCCCTACTCTGCTGGACTTCATCACAATGGTTTCATCAGTTTAAGATACTTAACCAGTCTTCCTTCGAGTTGTAGATGTGACCTGGGATGAGGTTTCCCAGTCGCCATGATGATATCACCATCATGATAATAATGCTTGATATTTATATTTCATGTGATACTGGTGAACTAGCTTTATTTGTCTTGATTAAAACAGTAATGAGAATTCTTTATTTTTTTTCAAGAAACTTTGAAGTCTTTACTTCATTACACCCTTATAATAACATCAAGAAATCAAAAAGTTAACATGACTTCCCCAGCACCTCTCTGGCTAATGAGTGGTCATAGCCGGACTAGAGTCCAGTTCGTCAGTCAGTGGTTAGCTGGATAAGAGTCTAGTTTGTTACTGGTTAGTTGTTATTAGATAGAGTATCATTTGTTAGTTACTAGTTAGATACACGGGAGTCTAGTTTCTCAGTTTGTGGTTAGCTAGGTAAGAAGGTAGTTGGTTAATTAGTGGTTAGCTGGACTAGAATCTGTTTGTTAGGTAGTCATTAACTTTCTTTAATGCTTAATCTAATTCTTTCTTTACCATACAGCTACTGCTTTAAAAATCTGAGTTGATAATTTCAGACACCTGTCATTTATGAATTGTAAATCTAAATTTAATTGCAGGTTAGTGGATTTTGTTCTCAATGTTGGCTCAAAAAAGCTAGCTTTGTGGAAAATACCAGAGTTACCGTGATCTGTGTCTGCAGAGCTGAGCCTCTCTTCTCCCCCGCATCCACACACGTTCTATGCTATAAAATATGCTGTTGTAAAGAATACGATAAATTCAAAGCCCCTTTAATCCTAACAGAGCACAGTTTTAAGCCAAATACATGCATCTTTCGCAGAGTTTCAGGTAACTGAAGTTTCCTGGGGTGGATTTTTTTCTTGGTGGCATCACTGCAAAAATAGTCTATGGACCCCAGGGACAGACGCATGCTGTCAGTCACTTTTCAGATATAATTGTGAAATACACAACTATCGACAGACTTGGAAATACACAGGAAACGTGAAGCCCATGGGTTCCCCAGCTTTGGAATGCTACTTCTGCAGCAGGTGCAGTGACACTGTCCGGGAGCCTTTCTACAGAAATTACGAAGCGAGCTCTTCTCTGACATTTGGTGAGCTCACTTCATAAAAGTTCTAGAAATGGTGAGAACATCTTTTACAATTCTAATTTTACGTACGATATTAGAGCTTTGTTGCAAACATTTGAGAAATTTTTTTCCCTGAGATGTTTTTCCCCTTTTGAAGTTTAACTCAAAGAGAAAATGCCAAAAATAATTAGGAGACATAAAAAACGTCTTGAAGGACAGAGAATCGTTTTTCACAAAATGCTTGGAAATGTCTCCTGACTGGCCTGTTTCTCACTCGTGTAAAATGCCAGGCGTGAGTGCCAGTCTTGAGGCAGACAGCCTGACTGAGGCCCATACCTTGGTGAGGTCCTTGTACAGCTCCGGGTAGAGCATCGCCATCTCTGGCTTCACGTCCTGGTCCAGCACTAAGGAGAACACTGGGAACATGGTGTATATGGTGGCATACCTGCAAGACCAAAAGCGAGTGCAACGGGCCTGAGAAACTTCTACCACACGGCTACAAAGAGACCTCTGGATTAGAGGTCACAGTTTCAAAAACACCAAAACATACTCCACAAAAACCAACAATTTGGCAACCAAGTAAGATGATTGCGGAGACTGAGTATTTATCTCAGAGCACAGTAGCACGTTTTATAAGTCACAAATGCTTACAGTCAGTGGTTAGCTGGAGAAGAATGGTTTTTAAAAATGTTTACCTTTCTACGTTGAGATCATTGTAGACTCACATGCAGTTGTCAGGAATAGCACAGAGATTTTCTGTGATCTTTACCCAGTTCTCCCATTAGTAACATCTTAGATAAGTGTAGTGTGAACCTCACCACCAGGATCCACAAGGACACCTCCAGACCCAGGGCCCCTCGCACAGGGTCCCTCACGCGGACACCTCCAGACCCAGGGCACCCCTCGCACAGGGTCCCTCCTGAGGCTGCTATGTAGTTGGAACCACTTCCCTCTGCTGCCTCCTCCCTATTCCCTGGTCACCAAGAATCTGTTCCCCATCTCGAATCTGGTCATTTCAAGAATGTCCAGCAGGCTAACTTTGGGGATTGGTGTCTTTTACACAGCGCAATTCTCTGGAGATTCATCTGGGTTGCTGCTGTATCAGTAGGTAATTTCTTTCTATTGCTGACTACTATTTAGTGGCAGGCAAATGAACTACAGTTTGCTTAACCACTGAAGTACATCTGGGTTAGTCCTAGTTTTTGATTATCACAAATAAAACTGCTGTAAATATTCACTGCACAGATTTTTTGGCGAAGTTTCCATTTATTTTGGACAGGAGTGCCGAGTGAGATGGTATAAACCTCAGGAGCGTGAGTGCTAGGTCTGGACAGGAGTGCCGAGTGAGATGGTATAAATCCCGGGAGCGTGGGTCCTAGGTCTGGACAGGAGTGCCGAGTGAGATGGTATAAATCCCGGGAGCGTGAGTGCTAGGTCTAGACAGGAGAGCCGAGTGAGACAGTATAAACCCCGGGAGCGTGGGTGCTAGGTCACATGGTGGTCGTATAGTTTTTCAAAGAAATTGTTAAAACATCTTCCAGATAGTAGGATTTATGCTCCTACAGCAATATAAGAGCTACCCAGTTTCCGTGACTCTTCCCCACAATTCTGGCAGGTGTGAGGCGGAGCACCCTGTGTTCTAACCTGGTCTCTGTGGCTGACGATGCGGGCATCGTTTCACGGGCTTGCTTGCGGTCTGTGCATCCCCTTACACACAGGGTGGCTGCCTCTGCGCCTTCTGTCCTTTTCTTAACGGGACTGCTCCTTCATGGCTGAGCTTGGAGATTCTTTAGGGACTGCTGGACACAAGTCTTGCCAACACCTGCTTTCCTTTCTGGAAGTGGCCCTCACTGGCTGCAGCATCCCGTGCCCATGAGGCCTTTCTCCAGCACCTGAGTCCCTCTGCCTGCACGGTTTCCAATGATCCCCAACATACCCTGTCTCCTCACTGGCTGCTTTCTTTGTTTCTTTGGGTTTCTTTGTCTTTGGTTTTCATCATTTTGATTACGATTATCTTTGACTTTATCCTGTTCGGGGTTTGCTTACTTTCTTGAATCTGTACATTTATGTATTTTGCCAAATCTGGGAGGTTTTCAGCCTTTATTCCTTCAAATACTTTCCTAGCCCTGCCCTGTCCCTTCTCCCCTGGAACTCCCACGGCACCAATGGTCAGAGGCCAGGGCTCCCACGGCACAAACGGTACAGTTACCATTTTGCTGTCCCTGAGGCTCTGATCCATTTTTTTTCAATTTTCTCTCTGTTGTTCATATTGAGGACTTTCTGTTTTTCTATCTTCCAGTTCACTGCGTCCTTCCTCTGTTCCTTCTATTTTGCTGCTAAGCCCAGTCATGGCATTTGTCTGGGTTATTTCTCATCTCTAAGATTTCCATTTGGTTCTGCTCTGTATCTTGTCTGCTGGGCTGTTCTATTTTGCCATTTGCTCCAAGTATGTTGGTAATGGCTGTTTCCCAGTCTTTGTCAGAGAATTCTAGCATCTCTGCCATCTCAGGGCTGGCTTCTGTTGCCTGTCTTTCCATTCACCTTGAAATCTTCCTGGTTCTTGGTATGGCAAGGGACTCTGACGGAAGCCTTGACATTCCGGGTACTGTGTATGAGACTCTGAATTTTCTGAAGGGTGCTGACCCTGCTGCGGGGGGAGAAGAGGGCACTGTTCTTGCTGCTGTGCAGGGGCAGGGGTTCAGGCTCCCTGTGCGGTCTCCACTGACACTGAGGGGTTCATTATCCCTGACACTGGGGATGGAGTCCTGCCTCCCATTCCATTGCCCTGGAGATGCTGGGTGCCTCGCTACATCTCGTGAAGTGGCACTTTCAGCTCTCCACTTGCCTTTTTGGGGAGGGGGAGGCAGGCACAGCCCTTCCCTGGCGTCTGGGTGGAGTAGAGTGACGATCATCTGAAAGTCATCTGTCGTCCTAGTGCCCCTTTCATGGACCTGCGGTTGGAGAGGCTGGGCCCTCGCTGGGACTTTCAAATTTTAAATTTCTGCACCCATGGGCGTTTCCAGGCTGCCGGCTCCTTCAGCTCCAGCTGTTGGAAAATGTGGGGAGCTCCTGCCGCCTCGCCCCTTGCCCCTCTGTGTTCACCTCGCTCCCCACTCAGAGCCTTCTATGTGTGATGCCCACAGTTTCAAGCTCAACTTAGCAGAAGGAGCAGGGAGGAACCCATCTACTCCACCTCCCACTGTCCTGGAAGTGGAGCTGGGCCGGAAGTGGAGCTGGGCCGGAAGTGGAGCTGGGATTTTTTTTTTTGAGACAGGGTCTCACTCCGTGGCCCAGGCTGGAGTACAATGGTACAATCATGACTCACTGGCAGCCTTGACCTCCTGGGCTCAGCTGATCCTCTCACCTCAGTCTCCTGAGTAGTTGGACCGCAGGTATGCACCACCGTGCCCAGCTAATGTTCTTTTGTAGAGATGGAGTGTCACCATGTTTCCCAGGCTGGTCTCACACTCCTAGCCTCAAGAAATCTTCCCAGCTTGGCCTCCCAAAGTGCTGGGATTACAGGCATGAGCCACTGCACTTGGCTGGGTTTTTTGTTGTTGCTGTTGTTAAGTGACATTGTCACCTATGAGAAAGCATTCTCATAGTTATCTCAGGCTGGGAAAGTGACCCCGTGGCAGAGAACCAGAAACAGCCATGACACCACGTTATCTTGTAGCCTGGAAACACGCGGGTCCCTGAAGGCTATATTCTCTTTTAATGACTGAGATTCCATGGTCACAGACTCTTCTATTTTTAAAGCTGTTGTGGGTTCTATATGAAACGTTTTCTTCTAAGGTACTTTTAGTCTAGCTCACATTGTTTTCTTGATGGGTCACTGCTGGGCACTAAACATCTACATGCTCAGAGAACTTTATCCAGAAATTCAACTTTATTGGGTTGAACTTGTACAACACTGCTGTACTTCCCTCGAAATCTTTAATCACTTTTGTTAACTTTCTTTGAACAACTCCCAATCTGCTTAGGATTTAGAAACAGGGACAAATAATTCAAGGAGAGCCCAACCAGGAGTTAAGATGGCAGGTCATCCCCTGGTGATGCCTGGCGAGGGCGGGCATCCTGTTCTGTGTGCACACAGGCATGCGGACACTCAGCCGTGTGGCTTGTGACTCGCTCACACCAGCAGGAAGGACCACGTGCAGCCACGATTTCTGTATGTGCATTTACGAGAACTCTTGCTTTACTTATGCCAGAAATCTCCCTCTCTCTTCAACCCTTAACAACAAAACCCCACTGCTGCCTCCTTTTCATAAACCTACTCTCTGGAGGTGTGACTTTCAGCATGTGAGTGATGAGTTTTGACAAGCGTCATGGAACCACGGTGTGATCATGACACAGAGCATCTCCGTCACCCGCCAGGAGGAGGCCTGTGATGCGCCAGGTGGGAGACCCCTGCTTCCCTTGCTGCCGCGAGTCCCATGAAAATGGCTGTTTCCCACAAGCTCTCTAACACCTGGCTATTCTCTCCGGGTGGTCTCTGCTCTCTGCGGGTGGGTCTCTCCAGGCCAGTGGTGTGGGCCTCGCCCACCTTGCCGAGTGTGTCCTCTGCTTTCTCTGTGCTGCAGGGCAGCGTCTCAGGCTATGGACGCAGCGCAGCTCTTCCACCCCCCGGTGGACGGCCGTCGGTGTTCCCCAAACTGTGGAGATCACAGCTGAAGTGGTGAGAGTCCTGGTGCCAGTCTGAGTGGAAGAATGAGTGTTTTCCTTTTTCCCAGGTGAACAGAGGAGGGAGGTTGCTGGGGCATGGACGGTGAATGTTTAATTTCATAAAAACTGCCAGTCTGCTTTCTGGAGTGGCTGGACCATCTGCACTCTCGCCAGCAGTGCCGCCCTGCTGCCCGCCTGCCAACACGCCGCTCGGCCTTTCGGCTTGGCCTCCGCGGTGGCAGAGCCTTAACTCTCTCTGTGGCTTAAATTTATCTTTCCTGGTAACTAATGATGTTAAATACATTTTCTTGTGCTTGCTGCCATTCTTTGTCTTCTTTTGTGATGGATGTTCAAATATTTCATCTTAAAAAAAAAACTGAGTTGTTTGATCATTGAATTGAAGATATGTACTGAAAGTATTTCCTTCTTGTCTGCCTTTTTACTTGATTAGTACTGTCTTTAGAAGAGCAAAAACTTATTTTTTATGAAGTCCATCATGTCAGTTTATTCTCAGTGCGTCATGATGTTTGTGCTTTGGAAGTCTGTGCCAACCTGGGCACAGGTTGAGGGGCCCTAGAACCCACCAGAGCCTGGCCCTCCTCTGAGATTTGCACATACTGAAGTTTACTCTGAGAAACTTCACTGCAGGTACAAGGACTATTGAAACACAGAGGTTTCGAGGCCGTCTGGCTGTTGAAACACAGGTTTTGAGGCCGCCTGGTTGTTGGTTCTAGATGTGGGAGAGTTGTTTCTCTTCTCAGAGGCACCACCATCCCCATT